TTCCAATATGCGTTTTTGCTGCCTGTTGCAGCGCTCTAGCACTGCACGGCAAAAACGCATAATGAAAAACCGCCATCAGTAGGGGGCTTCCCCACCGCGGGTAAGAGAATGGTGTGGGGTCCTATGCATGCATGTAGATTAAGTTCCCAAAGTTTTAGTCCTGTAGCTTTTAAGGTCTCGAGATGAAAAGTCGGTACAGAAGCACAGTGCAACAAAGACACACACAGGCACAAACACACAGACAACCTCTCGTCAATATGCGTTTTCTGTATTGCATAGGTGCAAAAAACGCAAAAAATTCCCAAAACTTTCACTTACGCAGATGTGGGACGTAAGACATCTCAAAACTGAACTTTAAAAAAAAGAGTTATAGATCATGAATGGGAAGTGAACATTCCTCTAAAGTTTGGGCTCCCTACTTGGTTGGGAATTCCTTTTCACTTTTCTTTTCTTTTTTTAGTTTCCATGCGTTTTTGCATATTTATGCAAACGCAGGATGTATAATATGAAAAGGCTGTTCGCTTCAAAATCGACTTTCACATGCATCTAGTTTTAAATTATGGACATCTGATTTTTTAAAAAAAACATGCAACATTCGGGCAAGAAACAACATCAGAAATTACTTCTTTGCAAAGATGTTTTTTGCCTTGTGCAACTAATGGCAGTCTAAAGATTTCAAATCCAGCTTTCGCGCAAGCTTGCTCATGCTCAGGGTTATGTCCGACACCGCGTCAACTCGATAACTAGCCGAAAAACGATAACTGTAATTTTGTCGTTTAACTATGGACTCCTGAACCTAAATTAATTTCGAATTGCATTTGCGTCACGCTTTAGGGCATGTCAAAGAGATCTCAGAATACGTAGAACGACAACATCCTCAAGAAATTTCAGTTTTAAGCTTCTGTGATTGCTAGCAAAACACTAGCAGAAATACATAATTTGGCATTCATACGCTTAAGTCAGTCACAGGAGTGAGGAAGCTTCCAATGTTTTATCCTGTAACTTTTAGCTTTAAAACAGGCCTGAATTCGGAAATTCTTAACGAAATTTATGCGGGTTTGAAGTACCCCGTTTATTTGCATTCCACATCTGGCAAAACCGAAATCATGGATATATTTAGTATCATGAATACTTTTCGACACATATTAATCTGTCAACCTTCCAGCCATATCAAAGTGTGCTCGGGAGTAAGTTGCATATTTACGACACGTGGTACCAAGAAATTTGTCGCAAATCTGCCATGGAGCATTTATACGGTAAAAGTTACAAGTTTTTTTGTGCTTTTAGCTCATTGAGGGACTCCTTGCATAGCTACATTGAATATTTAGAAGATAGGGGACTTAACACAAAAGAACAACGAAGCAACCAGCAATTTCAGTGGCAAGAAGTAAACGCCGACAGCAAAACAACAGCTCACACTTGTAACCAAATTAATAAATAATTAATAACCAAATTAATTAATAAATTAGTAAATAATCACCGTTACCTTCCGATAATTTTCGTCGTAGCAAGTTTCCATCTGATTGACATTTCTTCTTCGATATGTTTCAAAATGGATTTCACTGCCAAGCATTTGTCCTCCTTTGTCCATTGGATACGAGTGAGTGATAGCAAAGCGCCGAATGAGATATTCCGATTTCAGTAGGATTTGTAACTCCGCCTTATTGCGCATCTTTGGGCACTGCTGGCAGCAGAGCACAAAAATATCCGCTTTGCCTTCAGAAGACTAAAATATGACTGTCAGATTGCTATCTGTTTTATACTAACTCTGTTTCTCGTAAAGAAAGTGAATTATAAAAATGGTTTTATCTTTAACTCATTAACAATAAGCTAAGCTGACCTCAACCCAAGTCACATAAAATTTATCAGTTTCCTGTTGATTATCCCTCAGGTAACGGCAAAGTGGTTCAGCAGCTCCCAGCAGTTCATAGTAATTAATATTCCGAAAGTGACTGAGATATTGTTCATCGTTCATGTACACTTCCTTGTCAAATTCGTTCGATTTAAACACCAAGCCGTAAATGCAGAAATCGTAGTCAACACTAAAATAT